AATACGTCAAATTGTCCAGAATAAATATCTTGAAAAGACAACACTTTAACATGCTCGTCTAATAAAATACTTTATGGAACAATGCTATTCCCAGGAGCAATTCTAATATATTTATCTTCGTTTCAAATCAACATTTGCTGTTGTGCAATGAGACCTTCCTCAACTGAAACAGCTTCACTGAAATCATCAACATGATTCCAAGAGTTGCCACACTGTCCTTGTACGTGACTTAATCTTTGTATTTGCATAAATAGTACCCTAGGCGAAATTAATCTTTCAGATAGAAACTAAAGTTTTGCTAATGACTGTGGCATTTTAGGGTGTTGAAAACCATTATAAATAGTTATAGGAGCTATTTTGTTCTTATTTAGATATAATTTACAAAAAAAATATAAATTGAACGAATTAGTAGTGGTAAAATTTTGTAAAAATTAAATTAATTTGTACGAAAATCAAATGGTAAAAAAAACTTTGTGCAACGATTTATAAATAAGAAAAAAAAGGAACCGTAACTATATTTTGGAAAAATTTTAGAATCACTAGCTAAAGAAATTTTTCAATTTCCTTAAAACCCTAACCGATTGCAAACAGAGATTGGGAAGTCAAAAGAGTTGTTTGTGAAATTTTTATCAAATAGTTGCATAGCTATATGATTTGTACGACTGATAGCATTTTTGTTACAAGATAGTAAACCATCTTTAAAGTTATCATGTAGAAAGTTTTTGTCATAGTATTTTATTTATATCATTGAAAACGCTAGATGGAACTGTTCTCGTACAATTTCAATCAGTTTTATGCATAATACTAAAATTCATCATTACTCTGAGAAGTCGGAATTTTCTTTATTTTCTTCATTAATTTGGTGAATTTAAAATTCTCAGATCACAGTTCTATTCAAGTTGATGCATGTTTTTTATGGTATCCTAAAAAATATAATTATTAATGGGACTGTGAGAAACAGTAACAAAGGATTAAATTTATTTGAATATGTCCGCTTTTAACCAAATCAGAAAAATTTATATGACGCGATATTAAAATCGTCATAGTCCATGTGACTATGATGACACGTATAGTCACAGTGTAGGACAGTTAACATTTTCCTTATGGAGAAAAGTATATAATGAGTCATATTCACAAGAATAAAAAAAAATTAAAAAAATCAAAAATAAGAAATCTCTTAACATAATATTAATCAATATTAAGTACATAGTTATTTTAAATTCAGGAGCTTAGCATAATTGTTTTTTAGCTTCACAAGAAAATTCGGAAATTAGGTACGAGCTTAACAGTGTGGGGATATCTGGCTATAATCCACGTAAAACTCTGAACGGCTTATTTAATAGCCAGTATCTCAAATTTGTAAGTCGTTTGAATGACCATTATCTTGCAAGAGTAGTCATGTAGTTGTGATATAATTCTTAATCAATTAATGATATAAAGTTAAGATATCTTCATAATCATTAGATAATGTAGGGTCATCAGTAGCTAGGGTGCCCAGCTGTGCGGCGCAAAACTTCACTCATAATATCTGCCAGTTAACGACTGACCTGGTTTAAAAGTGGCTGGCTTTATACAGTCTATTAGTCGGTAAATTGTTGTTGGGGATAGTGGTGAAAATATATATATGGGGTGAGGCAGTTTAATATTAGATGGTCTCCAAAATAACCAATGAGATTGATGGTGATTAAGTGGACGTGAGAAAAGAGAGAAAAGAGGCAGTGGTGATACTTTCTGTCATTTCTTATGGATATTCTTAACAATGGAGAGCCAGCAGGTAGCTTGAGTCTTAAGAAGGTTTGCCGCTGGCCGATGAATATTTCGTCTTCAGGTTGTTCCTAGGATAACCAACTACTTACCGTCGGTCGCAGAAGTGGATCCAGAGAATGCCTCTTTTATGGGTATTTCGTTGGGACGAACCACTGAGAAGCAGGCTGATATAACTTCTAGCTGATGTGGCTGACTGAACTTCTAAAAATTTTTATCTTTGGCTTGCTGTTGTAGCAAAAGGTGCTCTGGTAGCACCTGATTGGTTATAATAATGTATTCAAAGCCCTGAAATGTTAGAGCAGATTGTACTCCAGCTGAACGTCTCCTTTCATATTACCATAGACGTTAGCATTTAGAATGCCTACTTTTCCTTGGAACACCGTTATTTTCACGGTTATAGTAAACTTCGACGTTAGTCACTTGTCTATTGGAGAAGACTATCATTGGTAGCCACAATACCCAGCTGCAAGACTAATAATTTTTTTTTTGATGTACCACTGGTAAACGACTTCAGTAATCGACGGTTATTTTAGGGATATTATAATCAAGCCTCTTTGATTTAATTGCTGGTGGCTTCGATTTTACTTTGATGCCACCAAGTAAAAACTGTTGAACTTAAGTCACAACTAGCGTATTTTTCAAAATTCAGAGCTTACTTATTGCTATTGTTGTTAATTTTTCTCGATAAAAACTATTCAAAAACCATCTTGGATTTGTTAAAAATTAGTATGCAAAATCTCAGCAAGATAAGTTAAGTAGTTTTCACACTTGACGATTAAAATGTTTCTTGGGACTTTGCTTTACATGTTAGTAAGATATTTGACAGTAGAGTGCTTCAACCATACATAGCGTTTTATAAAAATATTATTTCTATTCTTAACAGTTCTCAACACTCCAACTAAGATTAAATTCACGTTGAGCAGTGCAGAGTTGAGAGTTTAGTGCCTGCATATATACTCTTGAGACAAAAGCGATCAAGCTGACCACATTATCATAAACTTTAAACCTATTGTCAAATACTTGAATATTTTAATATTAAAGAGTTTTGTAAGAATTTTGTCTTTTCTATCTTTTGCCTACTTCTTGAACCAATTCTTTTATTCCGTATGATCTCTAAACTTGCAAACAGTACCTGTGGTCATACATCAATAAAATTAGTCTTTTATGCTTAAATGCCTAAAAAAATCCAAGCCACTCGTAAATGCTTTTTTTATCTCATGCTCAAGTAATTGACTAGTATTTTTTTTTATAAACAAATAGTTTTGACCGTATTATTTGCCAAAGTAATAAGCCACAAATCGCAAGTCTCCCTAAGACTTTTAATTATTTAAGTGTCTATCACCACTTATTCATCAAGCCTCTATACAAAAAATAAATTTTTATTGAGGAATTTTATTCTTAAGAAATGTGTATATTTTTATTACGTGTTTCGTAACATTACTCAGTCGTAGTTTTGTAAAGACACTGTTCATAATAACAATAATCTTATAGTGTCCTTACTAAAAAAAAATGTAAAGTTTCAAGACCTTACTCGCTTTTTGTGCAAATATTTGTGGTTGACAAAATTTTTCTAACCACAAAAAATGTACTTTACCACCAATATGCTACATTCTTCTAGATATATATTTTAATCTGCATTTTTGCGTAAAATTGAGAACTCATTAGTATGAAAAAGTGAGTATCATAATTTTAGTAATACTAAATGTTATGTTAACTTAGTTTTAGTACATAATTACAGAAAACTTCATGATTAAAAACTGTATTAATTTTTTATGTAAAATTCTTTAAATATTTGAACAAGTTAGTGTCCATTAGAGAATTATTATGAGTATTACCTTGTAGAGAAGAACAGGTTTTTTAGAGAAATTAGTACAAATTTTAATACATTTAATTATTAGCTTTTTCATCCCCACAAAGTATAAGCTGTAACAAATTGATTTTTTTTTTAACTTTCTACTTTTAATAAGTATATTTCTTATGAGTTTATTGATCTAGTTAACAGTAACGCAAAGCTCGTTGCTCATTTGCACACAATGTACTGCATTCACTTAAGACTTAAGAAAACAATTTTTGAGACGTTCTAAAAAAATTAAGGTAACCAATCAATAATCCTACAGATAAATGTGCTTTTTTATGACAGTTAAAAAAATCATTAAGCAAACACAACAATAATCACAAAGTAGGGGCAAAAGACAGTTAAATTATGATTGCTACTTCTTGTGAAGGTTGTTAAACATCTCTCTTAGAACCATTACAAACTTTCAAGTCCAACATACCACTAGCTAGGCATCTATATCAAAGTTTTAACAACGACTTTCATTATTTTCTGATTGCTGAACGTTATGAAAGCTATATAATTTCTGTCAGACAATTTCTGTCAATATTTCTGATCATCACAAAAAAATTATTGGACCAAAATATAAACCAATGTCAGATTATATGAAGGCAGTGATGGATTATAAACAAAAGAAAATAAAAATCTAAGTGACTGCGTCTATTTAATTAATAGCAAACGTAAGAGTAAAACTGATTGCTCGATAATAAAAAATTAAAGGTTATAAAACTATAGTTTCTAACTTATGTATGGTTTTGCAAGCTCAAATATCCCACAGCATATTATTTTTTACTTTTCATGTTATATAAGGACTAACATAAGATTCAAGATGATTTCAGCTAGCAATACTTAATTTGACATATTATACAATGACATCTCAGTATACAGTTCAACTTTAAAATATCATCACATTTTGTAACTAAAAACGCGGTATCATGAGACTTGAATACAAATAATTAACAATTTATTCAAATTTTTCTTAGAAAAAGGCCAGATCTTTTTAATCTTATTCATATTTAGATGTAAATGTATGGAAAAAAATTTGGACGTAACAATCGTAAAAAGCTAAGATGTCAGCTTATATAAGTTATGAATGTCAATTATTGTATTAGCATAAGAAATTATTCTGTTACTTTAGCCATTAAATAAAAGATTTCTTACTCTTACTCAGTAATTGCTAACTTATAGTAGTTTTTTCAGAAGATCCTGATAGCACACTTTTGATGTATCATTTTCAATACAGTTATAAGTACAGCTTTTTATCATTTTGGAACTTAAATATGTTCTTACTCATATTTTTAGCATACTTTGGTAAAAACTAATAGCTAACAATTAGTGTTGAGTTTATAGAGTTTTTCAGTTTTTTAAAATAATGATACTGCAAGATCCAATTATTTACCTTGCTTTCAGATTATCCAAATAAACTAAGTGCCTTGTGTAGGAGTATGGATAACTCAGCGCAAAGTGATATAAATCATCTTCACGATCAAATGAAAATGTAAAGCTCATAATATAATGATCCTGGTGAATATTAGATTTGTAATAAAAAACTTGCGTTGAAGGTAGCCGTTGCCACTTAGGTCGAGTGGAGCTTTTTACCAGAGGTGTCATACCACGTCGAAAAAGATTACTTTTTTTTGAGATATTAACAATGTTGAAGACTACTCGCTGCTCCACGCAAACATTATTGACTGTGAAATTAAACCAGTAACGTAATCTTGGACCACACGTATCAGGTCTTACAAATAAATCGTATTCAAACTCTGATATGAGATCAACCCGTCCCAGATTGCCTGTTTCAAATGATGCATCAAAACATAGATGTCCTCTTTTTGCTTTTCCGCTGTGATCAGAAGGCCTAATAATAAGTCTGTTAACATTTCCATATCCTCCTTCGATGTCACTTTCTTCACTATCTAGTAAACAAAAATAGAAATCATTTCAATCAGCAAGTTGCCAAAAAAAGAATCAAATAGTTATCAAGGATATTTATGTTACCTATGTTTTTAATTTTTCGTAGGAAGACAATTGCAAGAGTAGAAAATTTATTTATACCAGAATCCTAAAAATAAATGTGTTTTACTATCAGAAACTTTTTTAACAAATTGTTATAAGATATTCTCCTAATAACGATCACACTTTATCAGAAATCAAGACTAAAGATCTGTCTCCTTACTTTTCTTTTGCTTCTCCTTGTTTGAGTTTCTATTGCGGAGATAGCCACCAAACTCAGCAATGCTATAAACCAAGGGTTCTTGTGTGAAATCATAACAATTTTACGATCTCCACATTAAACAGACAATTTGCGCCAGTATAAAAAGAGATCCCCCTACCATATCTATAACTTAAGGCTCGCTCACTTTCACAGCTTTAATACAATGTAATAAGTGTAAGAACCGTAGCTTTTCTAATCAAGTGGATTAGCTCCTTTGCCTATGCAATGAGTCTGACAAACTTGAATAATAAAGCCGTTACTTTATTGATCTAATTTTACACAACCTCGTAGTACGTTTGTTTGAGAAAAAAAAGAATGATTTTCGCATAACTTACATTAAATGCGCTTTTACGATCTATGCTACAGACTCTCCTGTCGTATAGCTACTAGGATCTACGATTCAATTTAATATGATCTGAAAGCAAGTTCAAAATTTTTTTAAGTAATTTATTTTTTCATTACTATCAAGGTAATCAATGCCTTTTTTTTCAGTACTGTTTTTGAGAAAATGTGTTATTACTGTTGCATAAATTTTTAATTGACGCTTAACATGTAATTACTATTGAATACTTTAAGATTAAAAGTTCTATCAAAAAAATAATGAAACGAGTTTTTGCTTATTACGCTACAAAAATAAGCTCTAGTTACATGACAATCAATCTTACATAAAAAAGGTATTACGAAGTTAAAAAAGGAATCCGCAATATCTGACATATAAGAATAGAAAGTGTTGTTGTTTGACTACTACTTAAAACTCTTTTCTTCCTGAATAGTTTCCAATAAAGGCCATGTTCATTAGTAATAACTTCCAGTGAATCATTTGTTTAGATCCCATACACACGTACACCCACACACACGCGCGCATACGTATATGAGTCATTCTACTGAAAATGGCATATTTCATGTCCCAGTCGATTACAAAGCTGTTTGAGGAGATAGTAAACTAGAAATTTTCTTAATTATTCAAGGGATATTAACTTTGAAAGGTACAATAAAATTCAGACCATAACAAAATATTCCTGTAGTTTCAGATACAGAAAAAGGGCTAAAATAGTGTTACGGGCTCATGTCTCATTCGAAAATTTGCAGTTTTGACGACACCTGAAATCAAAACATGGAGATTTTAATGTTTCTACGGTATGGAGTCTTAAACTCACTAACGCAAACAACATTTTAACGTATTTTAGATAGTCAAAAAAAATTGTATCCAAGAGTTGGCTGCTGTTGGAGTTGTGGGGCCAAAATCTTATAAATTTAAAATTTCAACGGAAAACACTCTCACAGCCGCACGCAATGGAATATGGGTATTCCAATAAGGGCGTTTTGTATTTTACAAAAGTTGAGGATGTTGCTGAAAATTCTTCCAATTTTTCCTCTCCATTCAGCCAGTTCTACAGGCTTGCGAATTTGAAGATTGCGTCACCCCAAAATAAAAACTAAGAGCCTGTAACGCTACAGAATGTTATGTAACTTTTTGAAGCGTTCGGTTATCGACTGGGGAGATGGTGGGTTAAAATAAAGCTTCTTCTGATCTAATATAAGTGCAGTGGCAAAGCTCAATTTGCGTTTGGTGCGATTCAATCTCGATTTTTCAACAATTTTATAAGAGCTCGTAACGCTTCTTTTTTTGCTGGCTTTGCCCATAATGCTGTCCCGTAACGATACAAAACCCATTGTATCTTCACTGAGTCTTAGCTTGTCAGCTGGAATAGTATAGTACATAATATTAGGGACACTGTACATCGTACAAGACAAGAATAAAGTTAAATATTTACTGTGAGTGGTATCATCATAATTTTAAGATAATTTTTCGAGCCCGTTGCGCTCTTTTTTTTATGAATAGTATCATACCTTTGTGCACTGTCTTATTATCGACTTGGATAACATAATTTATAATAGTAGGGACTCAGTACATCGTACAAGTACGAGGATACAGATAAACTTTTACTGTGAGCTGTAAAATCATAATCTTAAGAAGATAATTCTAACCCATAAAGCGAACATTTTAAAAAAATACAATAAAGAAAATCTTTCTAAATTTTTTCGTGCAGATCTAGCAGAGCTCAAAAAATTTTAGCTTATTTTGGTCATGGACAATACAAAACTTGGTTTTGAAAATTTAAAAACCCGTTTTAAGTGTTTGTTTATTCCAGCCCTCGACATATGCCATTTTTAGTAGAATGACCCATGTATATACATATATATATATGTTAGTGGAGCTCCATCCCCTGCACGCTCCACGCACTTACCCACCAATTTTTAAACGAGTTAAATATTTTATTTTTGCAGTTTGCTTCCTGAAGTTAAAAAAATTACAGAATTCTTGTAAAGTTGTTAGTCCATTCCAGCCCTCGACATATGCCATTTTTAGTAGAATGACCCATATATATATACATGTTGATAGAGCTCCATCCCCTGCATGCTCCACGCACTTACCTACCAATTTTCAAACGAGTTAAATATTTCATTTTTGCAGTTTGCTTTCTGAAGTTAAGACAATTACAGAATCCTTGTAAAGTAGTTTAGGAGTCCAAACAAAAGTAGTGTCAATTAAATAAATACGTTTTTATAAATTTATAAGACCAGACTTTGCCTCATTTCTTATCACAAAAAATATCCAAGAAGGTAAAATTTAAAAAACATTTTTAATTATTTTATTGATCATATAATGTTTCTGGAAAAAAGGTCTAATAGGTTCTTTTTACTATATTTTAACATCCAAATATCTAACCAGGCCTAATATTTAGTACAGATAAGAATATTCGAAGAAGTGAGAAAAATAAAATGTAATGGTTACACCGTCTGGCCGTAATATACGTTCAATAGTTAGTTCACGTTGACAGTAGCACTACCCAATCATGTGGCATTACCATGATTTACCATTGTAATTCTATCAAAAGCAGATGCTCGTAGGTGTCAAGGTGGTTGAAAAACAAGACTGCCGCAAATTGTGCCAGTATTTATAACCCTCACGATTTATGACAACCCGTTAAAATTTAGTTATTTTTCATTATATTAGAGAGTTGTATGGATATTTAAATAGTGTTATTTAATAAATTCCATGTATCGACTGTTAACTTAACCAATGGATACCAAATGAAACGATGTCACAAAAAAGTGCAATTTGTGTCAAGATTGAAATTGATTTTTTACTCAAAAACTGACATTTAGAAAAATGGACTCCCACACACTAGCAGTACCAGCCACAATGTTGCAAACTGGGTTCTTACAATTAATTACAATAAAAATCAGAATGTAAGGCAATTTCAGACGTCCAAACGAGAAGAAAATAACTTTTTCTGCATCGATGATAACGATGAAAGTCCTTGTTTAAATAAAAAAAAACAAAAATGTATAAAAAATTTCTTTAAACCTTTCACTAACCAAACAACATTAAAAAAAAGGGGTATCCTAAATACAAGGGAAGAAAAAACATTTACAAAAATTACATTTACAAAAAAAATAAAAACTAACTTCCAGTTGATAGTTCAATGGCTGTGCCATATAATTAATTTTGGTTAATAAAATATAAATGCCATATTCATATTTAATATTGTTCATCTATGCAAAGTATTAGGTACATATATGACAATATTCACAAAGGTTATAATAAATCATTTGTAGAAATAACGAGGGTTAGTGATGAGAATAAATAACTCTTAGATGATATTAAAAATTTGTTAATGGTAGAAAATACAATAGAAAAGTTGTGAGCCCTACTCACAGTATGGCTTGAATTTAACAAAATCGATGATTACACAAAATTATTAAAACATGTTCATATACCAAGGTAATAAATTTTTAATTACCAACTCGAAATTAAACACAAACAAAAACATACAAAATTAAATACATCAATAGGAAGATTAAGCACAGTGTCTCCTAAAGATAATAAAAGATTTTTTTTATATTGATACTAAATAAAATGAACGGAGCAACATCGTTGAAAAAAATTTAATAAGATAATGTATCCAAGATTAAAAGACACTGCAATAGGTTTAATAGAACACCATAGGAAAATAAATGATATTTTTAAACAAGCCAGTATTGTTGTGTTACCATATCAGTTATGGCAATATTTTGCCTGGTTTCTAATTAGAAAACATCTAAGAAGGTGAAATTTGGAAAATATAAAAAAACTATTTTATGGAAGGTTTTTTAAACAAAAGTAAAAATCGCACCCTTCTACATACAAGTTAAATCTTACAATTAAAAGAAAAATCATGTCAAAATTTCAGTTTGCCCACACCAAAAAAAATCGATATAAAAGAAAACAGTACCATTAAAAAATTTATTTTTTGTATGCAAATTTTAAATTAAATGTTTGAAAAATTAGAGGTAAATTATGTCAGTAGGGCACAAAGAACAAATATGAGCACCTGAGCCCGTGGGCACACTTCGCGCCTGGTAGGTCACTTTGGGCTCTAGGAAAGAAAAAAGCTTTAGATGGCTAAGGAGGCTTACAAAAACAAACCCATAGAAAAAATAATTTATTGTCTCATTTTGCGTGGAAAAAATGTTATCTATGGCAGGAGCTGATATAGCATGACTATTACTTTCAAAAGAAATGACCAGTCATAAAACATTTTTGTTACCATTAGACTTAAACTATGTAAGAATTTTGTTCTTGGAATTTAAATCTGGAAAAAAAATTGAAAGAAGATTTAATTGTAGGGGAGAAAGCTTATAATTATAAAATGG